GTATTTTTTTACAATTGGCAATTGTCCGTATCTTACTTCAACGACAATTATGTTGTGAAATAATTGTTAAATTTGCAGTAATCTTTGACATGAAATCGTGGCTGTGTAAGATTCACGTTACAATTGTAGTGTTTTCGTTGTTGTTACAAAATGGCTCTCCGCGAAAGCTTGAAAACATGAGTTTTTATACTTTCTCATGTGTAAAAACTCGAATAAAAATAAAAACGAACGAATAAATTACTTCTTTGATATCAGTGATATTTATACTTATATATTCTTTGCGTTTAAAATAAAATTACATACCAAGCCAACATATGTCAGCGACACAATATGACGGTTTGGTGAAATAGGGCGCTTGTCCGTTTCCTGTCATCTATGTAACGTATCCATCACGTTAGATTTTAAAATTTATTCCTTATAGATCTTAAAATGAGAGTTGAGCTTGGTGATGTTCGAATCCAGCAAAACATACATCGACAATAATTTTCTCTTTCGACATATAAAAATAAAGAAGATGAGACATCGTTTTATGTAAACATCGGGTCAGATATTGCCAAAACTCGTTAGTCATAAAAATTTACCTACTACAGGGCTTTATGTCAGTTGTCGTAATAATCTCGTCAGAAGTCTAATATAAATTTCGTAGGTACCTTAATCGAGTTGGCAAAAGTAGAAATTGTATTTTCTGCGCGCGGTCGCATGAAATTGAAAAAATAATGAATGCACTTTTCAGCACATTGTGCTCGTATTGCGCGGACCAAGATGAAAACTTAGAATTATTACAATTTCAGACAAACGGACATATTTAAATTGAGCCGGCATTATTAGAGTCGGGTTTTATGATCAAAATACGATAATGTGTTATGGTAGCCATACACACTACGAGAAATCGTTACGATTAGACTGTACCGTCCGAACGGTACCGATAAATCGTAGCGTGTATGTTATAAAACTGCACAGTTTCCTTACGAACGCCACGTACGATAAACTGTTTCGTTCGAACTGTACAGTCTGATCGTAACGATTTCTCGTAGTGTGTATGGCTACCATTAGAGATACCTCTCACCCGCTCTGAGTATTATACGGACTCCTTTACGATTAAAGCTGCACAACTTTGGAACAAACTTCCGCCTGAGATTCGTCACGCTGTCAATTGACATTTTTAAAAATATTCTTCATGATTTTCTGCTACTCAGATCCTAGTCTGATGTCTCTATAAATATATAATAATGTATAATCTGTATGTGTATATATTTGTGTAGGTATACGTTATTTATTTGTTTATAATCTTTATATGTTCAAGAAAATGTGTATATTTCTTTTCATCCCACCACCTCGGAAAGTGTAATTTTGCGCTTCGAAATCTGGCTGGAAAATTCTATTTTATTCGCTTGAGCGGCAAAGTAGATTTGAATTTAGAACATCACATATAATGAGTACTCAATATAATTGTAAATTCAAAACGTCATTAAACCTATTTAATGTAACCTCTATGGTGCCAAATTTATGATTAGAACTTTTTAAATTGTGAAAAAATTTAAATTTGGAACCTTCTTGGTTTCTTTGTTTTATTTGCGTGCTTCGCGCCATTCTAGTTTTTCACGTTTTATTGCTTAAATATTTTGTCATTATAAATTGTTTTCTTTTTCATTTTGTCATTTCCTCGCTGAGGTGGGATGAAAAGTTACGTATTGCACTCGAGTGGAAAGATTTTTCACCTTGTGCTCGTTTGTTTCCCTCGCTGACGCTCAGGATTCTAATTTAGAATCACTCGCTGCGCTCGTGATTCAACTTTAGAATCCTTCGCTTGCTCGGTCATCCAAATCGAGCACGCGGTTAAAAAGGAACTTTCCACTCTTGTATAATAAATAACTATTGTTTTATCTTGCTTTACTATAACTTCCTCTTCGTTTAGCTATCCTTTACCGCAAAGGTTGTCTGGAAGAGATCCCTTAAAGCGATAAGGCCGCATTTGCCCACATTATGTTATTGTTTCTTTTTTTGTAGTCTAATGAGTGTGTGCAAAAAAGAATTTATCTATCTATCTATCTATAGTTCATTCCAGATAACATTAAAAAAAATATCTCTGACTGTAACTAAGTTTGTGTTTTTTGCTGACGACATAAAAAGTGTCTGGCAAAAAAACTGCTGACAGAACGTGTATGGCAGTATTAATTGCAAATTGTTAACATTATTTTCTACGACATACGTACGAATTAGTCCTCAGATTGTAAATAATGTGAGTGAAATTTTTACGTGCTTGTGCCACCTAATGTCTGAAAGTTGGCCCACAGTACAACTTAGCAAGTATGTATACATTCATTATACACACTAATACTACTCAATTATCCTTATAATGTCCATGAGAAAATAAGCAGAATATCGTCGTAAAAAAAATTTGGCTGCAAAAAAGTACAGAAGATATTTTTATAAAGACGAACTTGTTAATAATTGAGGATTGTGAATGCAAACTCTTAAATCTTCATACAATAGATTCTGGTCGGCTACTTACGGCCCCCCCCCCCCCCCTCTCAATCCTCAAGGGAAGTGAATGTAACCGAAGTGGTCGGATCTGTCGCTGTAAGTGAGCAGCAACTCACAATTTCTGCTTTGATGTACAAGTAAGAGAAATAAGTACCTAGCTACACTGAAAAATGTTAACCAAGTTTCGAAAGGAGTTTCTTTTTCAGTCAATATAAAATTTCCTTTTTAAATACCTCACACAAGAACATGATTGTACTTCGAGTGTGAAAAAAACGCCACAAGGTAAAGCTCTTACTTCAACGCTAATTTATTTCTTTGAGCACTAGACCACGGTAATAATATCATACAGTATTCTATCTTCATACAAACGGCCGGAAAGCGAGTCATACCTACGCCACTCGAGTTCGATGTGCTCTCGGCGTGCACCCAGTCGCGAATGCGCCGCCGCGCCGCAACGACGACCGGACGGTCTGAATTGTTTTTTATGCAGTTAGCCGTGCTTAAACATGCGTTTTGTATTGTAAATATTTGATTTAATTTAGAAGATACCTACATAATTTAGTATGGAAAAGAACAAACGACGATCAATATCGTACAACAGCACAATTGCTGTTTTTGGTTGCTTGAACTCTTCAATAACACACCCAGAGATATCATTTTTTAAATTACCTGAAATATTGGAAAGGTGTCTTACCTTTATAGAATATTTTTTATATACCTATCTACTAGTACGTTATTTGTTTCTAATATTTAGGTATTTCGGTTTTTCCATCGGGCAAAATATCTGGAATAATATATAAATAAGTGGTTAGGATGAAAAAAGAGACAAACGAGTAATCTACCTACACTCGCGTTAAAAACAAAACTACATAAAATACTGTAGGCGGGCGGCCCTACCGCGTGCCAACGCAGCGTTCGGTGTAGGCATTTATTTTCAAGGACAGGGCGGAGTCACAATACTGTATAGATAATATTACCGTGACTAGACCACCGGACGTCAATCGCAGTTTAAAAAAGATATACTTTTGCTCTAAAATTGATAGCATTGAAACAGGTGGTTGAAGCCCATGTTTTTATTTTCATGGGTCCTGAAAATATGATTCGCCCGGTTTTCATACAATTAGGTCTGTGGGTATTAACGTGATGTAGGCGCACGTGGAATGTTACTGATTTGTAACTGTCGCCACAAAGTGTGATTTATTACACTGCAGACAGTTACACATTACTTATTATAAGCTATATAATAGACTGATTCTGGGGCTACACTAACCGAAAATGTCATCAATTATCGCAACGATGGATGTTTACAGTACCTACAGTACGCGCACGATCTGAGTGCAGCTCTGAGGAGTACTCTAATGCTCGAAAACACAGCTTGAGTATAAATACTGCAGGCGTGCGAGGCGCCGAAGTGTGGCCCTCAATCTCATACCCCGACTGCACTCAGATAGCGCGCTTACTTTACATTAAACGTCCATCATAGCGATAATTCACGACATTTCCCGTACCGTATGGAGTTGACAACTCTCTAGAAAGAGAAAAATAATAGCTACCACATAGAAAAACTATGGGCCGCTGTATCGCTTCGTCTCTCTCACTTATCTAACCAGTTTTACCTTATACTAGGTTAAGGAACACTCCGAGAGTAGTACCACATACCATCTTCTCGCTCCCCCAGTGGTTAAAGGATGCGTAAGGCATTTCCCAGACACACAAAAAAAGGGAGCACTCCGTCCATTTTTTATGTTAATACCATCTATTTACATATATGTCGGCGGATGGCGTCTCGCTCGCTCCTGCGAAACGTAAAACCTACAACAAATGTCATCAGTCATTGTACCATTGCTCTGTGAAACGTCAAGTTATGACAGTGACAGCTGTCATCACTTGGGAGTGTTCTATGCTAAGGGTAGTATTTAAGGGGGTAACGCTTCATTCGAAGGGGCATTCGGCATTCAGCATTCAGACGTGAGCCGCGATAGTGAACGGACGTTAGCACAGAACTCTCCGCGCTTCACAAAGCAATCCGTTTGTACCTTGGCAATCATAACTGATTTTGTAAAGTAATAAGAAGATTCAAATTAAACGTTAGCTTGGTCTCTAGACTACAGTTTTATTTTCGGGAAATATCATTGAATAACCAAGATGGCGGATCAAGATGAACCACGTGGCCAACCGCCTATATCCCGCTCGCCCCATGCGACATATACATACATCATACACTTGCTGGCCAGCCAGCAAGTGTATGGCCTGCCTGATGGTAAGCGGCCACCATAGATGCTTGCGATACTAAAAATATCGCTCGCGCCATTGGCATCTCTGACCCAATCCCCTACTCCGTGGAACCCTGGAACCTTACTCAACGACAGAAACACAACACCACCAAAAGCTAGTTTTATTCTACTGTGATCTTCTGGAAGATGGAGGCAACTTCCCAAGACGGGTGCTCCAATTCGAGCGGATAACCCGCTATGCCCTACCTCTCTTCTATGCTTAAGCTAAAGAAAACAGCTTACCTGTCAATGCTGATGGTGCAGAGATGCATGATGGAGGCAGTACACAAGAGGACGTCTAAGCAGATCCAAGTTAGGCAGTACACCGCAGGCAAGGGAAAATAACCTGTGATAGAGAAAAAATATAATTAGATAAATGCTAAGTTACGAGCACAGAACACAGAAAGAGGTTAGAATGGCCTTGTGGGCGGGGAAGGCGCGCCACAGTGATGTGTGAGTAACTTGACCGAAACTTGGTTCTGATTGCGTCGTTGCGTCGGATGTGAACGCTGATTGGTTCGATTCTTTGATGTCGCGTCGTTTGATTGACTATTATCTATTAGGTGAAAGTGTAGTGGGAGCGAGCCGGCGACATCGGTTCCCGTACAAACGGTCTCTGATCACCTCTCGAAACTCTTTCTGTGTTTGTAGTTACGAGTATAGCTCAGTATATTAGTACCTACATAAGATAAAACAATAGAAATAATGACGTAGGAGCTCGATGGCGCAAGTGGTTAGCGTGTTCGGCTGCTATCGTTGAAATTAAGCAACTTTCGCAGTGGTCGGTCATTGTATGGGTGACCAAAAATTACTATCTCGAGCTCCTCCGTGCTTCGGAAGGCACGTTAAGCCGTTGGTCCCGGCTGCATCTGCAGTCATTAGCACCCACCAATCCGCACTGGGCCCGCGTGGTGGGTCATGGCCCAATCTCCCTATTCCATCCATAGGGAAGGCTTGTGCCCCAGCAATTAATAGGCTGATGATGATGATGATGATGAACTTGACCAAAACTTGGTTCTGATTGTGTCGTTGCTCTCGGCTGTGAACGCTGATTGGTTCGATTGTTTGATGTCGCGTTGTTTGATTGAGTATTACCTTTTAGGTGAAAGTGTAGTGGGAGGGAGCCGGCGACATCGGTTCCCGTACAAACGGTCTATGATCACCCCTCTAACCTCTCTCTGTCTTTTGTCGATACGAGTATACTGCCGTCCTCAAACTAAAGTGCGGCTAAGTGACATGTGGTCGATTTTTCAGTCTCAAATTGCGTCTTATTAGGTTTTTAATTCTCTATCGATCTATTTTTAACAAGTATTCGTTTCTTTTGTAATTTAAGTCTAAAAATCCGTCGTTTGATGAATGGTTACAAAATAGCAATAAATTAAAGTTTACACGCGTTTTATTGGCTATATCTCAAAAGTTGGTTTTGTTATTTAGCCGCGTTTTAGCTTGAAGACGGCAGTATAGCTCAGTATATTAGTACCTACATATGATAAAACAATAGGAATGATGACGGGGTTAAGGAAATTATTTTTAGTCCCTCAGTTAGGTTAATAATAAATAATACATTAACTTTTTTTTGTCAATCAACAACAAAAAATAAAAAAAAGATAAAGCGCGTCAAAGTTAGGGTAGTCGGGGCTTGTGACGTCATATCTAAGTAAAAATTGTACCAAGACTTGACGCCAGGCGACATTTCAAATCAAATTATCTCTATTAAGTTTTGATTTGAAAAAAAAGACGTGTCCAATAATTTTTAATAATCTAACTGATGGACGAAGAATTAATCACACTAATATCATAAAGGCGAAAGTTTGTGAGTGTGTGAGTGTGTATGTTTGTTACTTCTTCACATCTAAATGGCTGGAGCATTTTTAATAAAATTTCGTATGAAGTTAGCTGACACCCTGGATTAACACATAGGGTATGTTTTACTGCGGGAAAATATACCTAATAAACCGCGGGTAGCACCGCAGGGCACAGCTAGTAGTTTATAAAAACTAAAAACACGCTTTTATTTACTGCATTAAAAGCCAAAAATAAACAAAATATACTCTCTGTTTACTTCATTAGGGCGTTAGAGTAAGCCATGTTTATAGGTTCATTTTAACATATATATATATATATATTTTCGTGCACAAATATTATATTTTATTTATTAATTGACGGATGTCAAATTTACCGTCTGTATTGAATGAAGGGTGATGAACCTCATTTACATATATACCTATATGTTCGACCCTATAGCTAAGACTCCACTGTCCGTCTGGCTGTCACCAAGCTATATTATATATCTTATGAAGTGATGCTATTGAATATAATAGCTAAGACAATTGAAATGATCACAGACGTTGTATTCCTGTTGCCGCGATAACAACAAATACAAGAACCAGAATAAAATAAATATTTAAGGGACCTTAGAACAGACGTGATTTCTTGCCGGTTTTTGCTCGATATTATTAATATTATAATGTCTATTTTTGAATAATTAATCAAAGGAACCAATGAAATGAAATGAAAAGTCATTTATTCAGTCTAGGCTGTTACAAGCACTTGTGAAAGTCAAGAAGCTACGCCATCGGTTCGCAAAACTACGGCGGGAGACCTTGTACTGAGAAGAACCGGCAAGAAACTCAACAAGGGCTGCTTTTTTCTCCCTGTATTGATATATACAGAGTCGTCAAGTTGAAAAATGACTTCAGACATACTTCTGAAGTCACCTTCCATTACATTATTAAGGGTATAGATATATAGTTACAACAAATTTTGTATTTAGTATATAGGAAGCGGCATTAGATAGGTACTGTAGAGTTCTACCCAGAAGGGATAGAACCTGGGAGCGTAGACGTTAATTGAAAGAAGATGATAGAGATAAATTATTTATTTTGTTTTATCATTCAGGCTAATATAAAAGTATTTTATCTAAATACGAGAGGAAATTCTTGGTGCCTGAAGATCTAATTTATGAATGGAACCTTCAGACGATTCCTTATTTCAAATCTTAAAATCATGACATTATCTTTTTAATATAACTGCCAACCGTAGGCATTGCAAAAGCAAAGAGTTTACCTAAACAAGGAGGCTGCAACGTTAAGGACGTTACATCCCTCCGGCACCTCTAAAAAAAAAATTGTTTTGTCATACCAGATGACCGAACAAAATTTTTTTTTCCTACCTACTACATCGAGAGGGTTCGACGGTCCTATCTAAAATCCCTACCTGCTTAAGGACATAAATACAACTGGGAGGTGGCCTTTACTACAGACTAGCCCTCACAATAAGTTTGCAAAACTTGCAAAAAAAAAAAAACTACAGGAAAAGAACCCTAACTGTTTGCAAAGTTTTATTGCAAAGACTTTACGGGAGCAAAACCTTAACAAAATCCCTCGCACATCTCCCTCCTAACCTTAACTTTACTTTACTTTACATCGACATCAGTCGGCAAAAACAAAAAAACAAAGCTAACCCTAGCTATAACTTAAATTACCCAAGCAATTTTTATTTTATCCCATCTATCAGCAAAACTTTACCCTATCCCATTTATTAAACCATTAAATATCAAGAAAATTTATATTTTGAAACTTCATTACTTCCCATACTAAGTAGATGTACGAAACGAAATTCAAACTATTTCCTAAGATTCGTAAACATTAACTGGATTTGAGCAAAACCTAAAAGAATTTATAATTAATGTTTACTTTCGTACATCTTTAATAAAGATACAGACGTGGTCCACCACTTTATTGTCTTGTACTTTATTAGACACCCATGATGCGCAAACGTAATAGAAATTTTGGGTAAGGACATCTAGCATCAAACAAGATTAAACCCAATTCCCATGGAATACTAAGGGTTCCCTTCCCCCAAGTCAAACTACTACAAGTGACGATTTTGACGAACGCGACGCGACCAAATTGAAACGAAAACGACGCGAATTCGTAGAGGGTGTCTCCATCATCTTCAGGGTGGATCATCGTCAGTATCGCTGACGTCTGCATGAGCGCCAGCCTGCTCTCTCTCGGGAAGTCCGCATCATGTGGTAGTACATAAAACAATCAAGAAAATATTAGTAAAATTCTTTACACCATTTTTCTTCAGTCGGGTAAGTTAATATTCAAGAAAACATTTATGATAAATCTTTATAGCCTCTTTTCCATAGTTGGGTAAATTTTCAAAGTATAACATTATTATTCATTTATTTATTTTTTTTAACCTTACAGGGAATCGAACCCGTTTCCTTTTTTATAATAAGGGAATTTTCTTTATGGACCTATATTATCCTATTATACATTATTAACTATATATATTCTATCCTAATACTGAATTTATCCTATCAATGATCATATTCAAAGTCAATTGAATAATTCCAAGTTGAACAGAGAATCGAACCTGTTACCTATCATTCTTATGGTTATTACGATATCAATAATCTACCTACTCAACAAATTACACTAAAGCTAATAATTAAAAGAAATGAAAATACTTAAATGAAACTAACTATTAATCTGTCATAAACAAAATGTGTAAAAGTTCCTTATAATATGTGTATTGGTAAAAATTTCTAATAAAATGACAAAGTTATATTTAATATGCTTTTGAAATAAAATTCTAAAATGACTATTGTATTAAACCTTATTTACATACCACCATTGCTTTAAAACATTCATATAAACAATAAACTGAAATAAAATCTCATTAGTAACACATTATTATTATCGTATTATCAACCTATTCGGCATAATATAAATTTTCATCATACACCGAATTATCATTATTCCTTTCATTATTCTTTTGTGTATATTGTCTTTTAAACTTGCACTTAATATGTTTGATTATTAATTGTTCATTATAAAAGTCTACTATCGCATTATTTCGAAGTAAGAAATCCTGTCCTAAGATGAGGTTATGACTAATATTTTCTACCACAAGAAAATCATGAATGAATAACACATTGTCTATCAATAATTTAAGGTTAACTTTCCCTATAACAGACAATTCTTTACCATCGACAGCTTTCAACTTCATATCGCTTTCATCAATTCGTTGATGAATTCTATTAACTGTGTCCTTCGACACCACAGACACTGCAGCACCACTATCAATGAGCCCTACAAACTCCTTGTCACGACACGTTATATTAATTAATGGTTTGGACTCACTTGTATACTGACTGTTGTTTTCTGACGGCTGTGAATGGTGAATTTCTTTATCAGCCATCTTCATTGAATCTTCTTCATAAAAAAATTTCTTCATTTGCTTCTTCTTCTTTGTTTTTTTCTTTTTTTTGTTCAAGTTACTGGAACAAAAAGTGCGGGGAATCATGTGTTCGGGAGGGACAATGGGATGAGA